GGAAGCCTCGCCAACCATGCCGCCGGGGAGGCGGCGAACTGCACGTGCTTCGTCCCGAGGCGCGGGAGGAAGACGCGGACGGCAGCGACCCCGGCGTGGACCGGCGTGGGCCTGAGGGCCCTGCGACCGATCGCGTGCGGGACCCCGATCACGTGGGATTACGGGACGGAGTACGTCATGCCCGGCGACCGCGACGGCAGCGGGCCCGGCAGCGCGCTGCATCACTGCACGCTGCCGGGCCTGCTGCCCTCCAGCCTGCGCAAGTGTGCCGCGGACGCGAACCCCGCCGCAGCCGCCCGCGGCCCGACCGAGCAGGCGCGGCGGGAGAGCCTCCGAGGCGGCGCAAGGAAGCCGCCCCTCCGCCTGAACCTGTGATCGCTGTGAACCTGTTCGAGATGGCGCACCTGCGTCTCCTCCCCCGTGTCCGACATGTCCGAGATGGCGTGATCGGCAGCTTGGCGTGGGCGCGCTTTGCACCGCACGGGCGTCGTTCTGGGAGCAAACCACGACGCCAGCGAGTCGCAGAACTAGAGACAAAGTAGCAGCTGCTGCAGTAGAATGGTGCTCGAACCTTTCCGTGTGCGGAGAGTGCTCTCGCTTGCCGCCCTGCCCCCCCCCCTTGAAGAGGCCAACGCGGCGCGGCACGGCGCCCTCGGGGATGAAAAAGCGACACCCCCACCTCGGTGATGGCAAACACACCACCCTGGACGCGGCGCTCGCAGCGGTCGCGCAGCGCTGTGCAGTCGCCACTTCCGCCAAGCTCGGTCCTCATCGAACCCAAGGTGAGAGAATGTGAGACGACGAGCGAGCGCAGCTGCAGCGCGGGTGCGCACCGCCTGCGCTACATTTCGCGGCGGAAGGCGGCGCCGTGAGAAAAACGCATGCGACGCCTCTGAATCTGCATGTAAAATCACTCCCAGGTAAAAGTCATTCAACATGACTTGGTCTTTTTTTTGCATGCAAAGCCATTCACAAAGCATGCAGATCTCTTTCGACACTGCAGGCTGCACTCCCAGCGCATGGACGGACGCCTCTCCGGCGCGTCGGGTCCACGGAGCCGCTGGCACCTCTCGAGTCGACTGCGCTGCCTCCTCGATCGTTGCGCTCGTGTCGACGGAGGTTGATTGTCAAAGACGTTGCGAAAGAAGGTTCCGTGAACGGTGCGCCATGTCACGAAGAGGTCGTGGAATCGTCCCCGAGGCTGCACCAGCACTGACGTCCCGCACCACGTGAGCGGGTCCCCTTGCGCGCTGCGTTGCGTGGGTGCAGGCTTGTGTCTCCGAGTCAGGTGCGTTCATGCGGAAGCAATCACCATGTCTGTTGCGTCACTCTGCAAGCCGCAAGGCCGAGGAGCTCTCCGCCCTGCCCCAGCAAGCTCCGGCGTCCTGTTTCGATATCCACGCGTCCGTGACAACATGCACAACATCAACATCAAGATCCAACTCAGGAGATCCCCCGCTGGCCTTGTACGAGGCTCACAATACGGCTGCATGGATGCTTCGTTTCGTGCGTCCCGAAGCGTCCGATGCTGGAACTGCACATCGCGTTGTGACTTGCCACACCCACACCACACCACTAGTCTAGTCACCACGATGTCCTGATGCGAGCGACCTCACGTGCAGACTTCTGTTGCACTGAACGCACTCGACGACACAGCCGTCGCGATGTCCGCGCCCCTCCCTGCGCGTGCGGGGGGCGCGCAGGCGCAGCTGAATCGACCAAGCGCTTCGCCAATCAACCAGCCAGCTACAGGCCACAGGCCGAACGGACTGCCCAGCCGCCGCGACGACGCACAAGCGAGGCTTCTCGCACACGGCGGCGAGGACATCTCGTGCGACCCCTGGACAGGCGGCCGGGGGTGCAGGCGGCCTGCCCCGCGCGGGCGCGCTCCGCGCTTACAGCGCTGCACCAAAAGACGAGCGGGTCCGCGCGCACAGTCTGGAGGCCGCGAGCGAGGCCAGCGAGGACGCCGGGCGCACCGAACGTGACGAACGACATGCCTCGCCTCCCGGAAAAGTGCTGCGAACGCCCCCCAGCAGGCCTCGGGCGAGCTGGCACAGGAAACCCCGCAGGCGTCCGGGGCGCGCTCGACGAGCCCGGCCCCGAGCTGTTGTGCTTGGTCTGTCCCGAGTGCAGCACGACGGGCCCCGCGGCCGCGCAACCACGACGCGGTGCGGCCGCGCGAGACTGGCCACGAGTCTCCCCAACCACCAGCACCCCGGGAGGCATGAGTTGTGACTGAGTCAGACTCGACGGTCGCAGACCCGGAGACCGCTGCGCGCCACCGAGGCGGATGCGCACCCGCGACCGATGTCGCGCACGACACAGCTGTTCTTTCTCCGGCGCCCGCAGGTTTTTCGTGCTCCGCCCGTAGTCAGATGCATCAGATGATGCACAGATGACTATATATCTAGTACTGCAGTTCCCCGCTTCGCCCCTGTTGCCGGACATGTGTGCTGCGGGGCCGAGATGAATTGAGTTCTCGGTCCGCATCGCGCATGGGCGCCGCACCTGCACCACCGCTTGGACCCTACGGGTCCCGACGACAGCGCGAGCTGGCGAGGGAGTTATCATCGATGATATCATGGCTGTGTGGCGAGAGACGGACACAGACGGACGCCCCGGTCATGCAATCCTGAGCGCTCGGACCATCACATCGCGCGACACGTCCGCTGACGCCCCAGTGGTTGCCCAGGATGATCGATCATGCCCTCACACTGCCCTGTCATGCGTGCTAATGCGGTGAGGTGTGCCCGTGGCCGAAACCCTGCTCAGAGCCCGACAGTGCGCGTGCATCTGGTCGCTCCGGCGCCGAATCCGCGCGTGCTGCGGAGCTCTAGCACCAGGCTGTCAAGTGCCTGCAAACGTAAACGCTGCTCGCGTGTCGGCCATCGGTACGCCCGCCCCCACGTTTCCCCGCAGCGGCCCTCGCTGCGCCCGCTGCGCCCCCGCGCGGGCTGTCTGCCACTTCCCTTTGTGCCATCGACAGGAAGATGGGCACCTGGTCCCGTGGCGTTTCTATAAACTAGTGCCGTTACAGGGTGGGGCAGAACCTGCCTTGGCGGTGCGACCCGTTCTACGGGGTGTAACAAGTCGAGTCACAGAGCGAAGACATGCACTGACTGAAAGGGGACATGTTCACAGACCAGTCAGTCAGTCAGGTCTCACAGACCAGTTCCAGGGGCTCGTGCACGCAGCGCTCGCTAGACGAGATGTGGAGCGCCGGATGATGGCGGACGTAAATCGACGACGTCGTCCGGAAGATCGTTGCACCACTCGACGTGGCTGGCGTCTTCAAACACGTCTCTCCCGTCCACCTGCGCCGGGTGCTCATGGAAGCTCCCCCCGGGTCCCGGCAGCGTCGCACCATCCCGATACCTTCCGGATCGGTCAGCCGGAAAACGCCTCGCGTCCGCTGCTGGTCGGTCGGGGCCAGAACGATGGCGACCGCCTCCGGCACCTGGTCCTGGTATGCAAAGTGCGAGTGCTGGTCGACAGACGATAGGAAGCAGTCGTGTCTTGGGTGCGTGTGGACCCATCCGATCTGGATGAGGTCTCTATTCTGCATCACTTCCAGCAGGCCCCGGTCGTCCGTCGAGTAGCAGTAGTCGTCGCGGCCAACTTGCGGTGGCACCACGACAGCGCTGACCACGAACACTTCGGTCCCTCCATCCGACATCACCACTTTCGCCGCCAGCGACCCGCAGGTCTCGATCCCAGCTGCCGTGTTGACGCCCGCAACTTTCTCGAAGTTGTCCAGCATCTTCTCGTTCATGCGCACCCGCCTCAGGGGTCTGGGGTCGCGGGGGTCGTCGACCCAGTCCCGCATCGCTTCCGCCGTGCCCTCCGGATCGCTGTCTACGACTACGCGCGGAGGCGAGCGCTGGCCCGGCGCTTCGCGAGCACGCTGCACATGCCCTGCAGAGGTGCATCCGGCCTGTGAGTCGCCGGCGGGCGCGGCGCCGCCCCGCTTGGCGACCGAGCTCGGCACGGACGGCCCCACGATCCCCTGCTCCACCTCCGCCGCCACGTCTCTTCGACCAGGGCGCCACCAACCGCGCTCCGCGCTGAAAAGCACCACGTTCTCCGCGCGCGTGGCACGCCGCTTCCCCCATTTCTTTCGGTACCGGAATGCCAAGCAGACGCGTCGTATTTCGCGATTGAGCGTCGCTGTCTGCGCCAGGTCAGGAGGCGCACACCCGGCCTCGCTGTAGATGGTCCGTATCACCGCTCTCGCCTCCGTCCCGCTCTGGGGCACCCTGACTCCTGAACCCTGGAGCGCCATAAGGCATCCTGCCTCCTTCGCGATGTCCGCGCCCCTCCCTGCGCGTGCGGGGGGCGCGCAGGCGCAGCTGAATCGACCAAGCGCTTCGCCAATCAACCAGCCAGCTACAGGCCACAGGCCGAACGGACTGCCCAGCCGCCGCGACGACGCACAAGCGAGGCTTCTCGCACACGGCGGCGAGGACATCTCGTGCGACCCCTGGACAGGCGGCCGGGGGTGCAGGCGGCCTGCCCCGCGCGGGCGCGCTCCGCGCTTACAGCGCTGCACCAAAAGACGAGCGGGTCCGCGCGCACAGTCTGGCGGCCGCGAGCGAGGCCAGCGAGGACGCCGGGCGCACCGAACGTGACGAACGACATGCCTCGCCTCCCGGAAAAGTGCGGCGAACGGCCCCCAGCTGGCCTCGGGCGAGCTGGCACAGGAAACCCCGCAGGCGTCCGGGGCGCGCTCGACGAGCCCGGCCCCGAGCTGTTGTGCTTGGTCTGTCCCGAGTGCAGCACGACGGGCCCCGCGGCCGCGCAACCACGACGCGGTGCGGCCGCGCGAGACTGGCCACGAGTCTCCCCAACCACCAGCACCCCGGAGGCATGGCGCCGCCATCACGGTTGCACCCCCCTCTTCGCCGCGCCACGAGCGAACGGGCGTCGCCGTGCTCGTGGCGCCGCACTCGCGAACCACCCTCGACGGTGGCGTTCGTCCCGCGCGCGCGCCGCTGCAGATGGGCGGCCTCGACGACGAGCGCATGAAGTTGTCGCCGAGGCGGCTGCGGGGCCGCGAAATCCCGCCGCCGCCTGACGGCGCGTCGACACCGGTCAAGAATGCTGCACCGAAGAAGGTGCGTGCGCACCGCAGCCGGCCCCGGCGAGCCGCGCCCGTGCTGTCCGCCTGCACCACCATCGCACCGCGCCTGTGCCGCGCTCCCGCGACCCGCCGACGCCGTGCTGCACCTTTTCTCCTGTGGTCTGGCCGCGCGGGCGCCGGACCCGGCCGGACGGGGCCGCGATCGCCCCGCAGCGCCCGGTCGTTGCGTGCAACTGCTGCCGCCACGCGCGAGTCGCCGGGGTCCGTATGACGCCAGCGGATGATCGGCCGAGTCTCGCTCGTTCGGCGCCGAGCGTCTCGTGCGGTGCAGTGCGTCGCGCGCCCGCGCCGCCGCGCCGTGCACGTCGAGCGGGCCCGTCAATGACGGTCATCGGAGCCCCTGCGGCAGCAAATGCTACGGGCCCTGTTTACTACTGCCTCTGACGCAGAGGCCGCACGCCCCGCACGTCGCCGCAGGCCCCGACCCGGCGTTGCGTGCACGATGGCTGCACGGCCGAGAACCTCATCTCCAGCCCCGTCTGCGAGAAGTGCAAGCAGCCCTTCGTGCGCGCGAGGCGCGACGGGAGGGCGGACGGCAAGGGGCCGAGCGCCGCGGTCCAGCGCCTGGGCGTGCGGGCGGCCACGAAGGCGCGCATGCTCGGCGCGTTCAAGGGCAAGGCGGATCCGACCGTCGTGTTCGCGCCGTCGAGCGTCGAAGTCGCGCGTCCCATCGTCATCGCGCGGGCCCTCCTGGGGCGCGTGCTGAGCCAGGACCGCGTGGGCTCGTTCTCGCTGCGGGACGCCGCGCGCTTCGTGCGCGCGCAGGACCCGGGCACGCTGCTCCACGTGCGCGGCGACGAAGCTGCGGTGTCGCGCTACCTGGCGCTCCACGAGGACGACGTGCGACATGTCTTCCAGCCAGACACGCACCCCGACCTGAGCGGCGGCTGCGCCCTGCTGCGGCAGCTCGGCGAACTCGCCAAGCAAATGCGGGCGGCGGGCGAGCCCCCGCGCGCCAGCGCGCCCGCCGCGGCGGCGAGCGGCGGCGACCACCGTCCACCGGTGGTGGCACAACCGGCCACCCCGGTCGTCTACCGCGTCTTCGACGGACACTGCGGACCGCTGGAGCGGCTGGACCTCGCGCCGCGCGAGGACGATCCTGCGCCGTGCGTCTCGTCGGCGCCCGGCTCCTCGACCGCGGCCCAGGCGCACGACGGCGGCGCGGACCGCCCCTGGCTGCAGCAGCCAACGGCTGCTCCCGGGCCCGCGGGCAGCGCGGGCGTGCAGTGCGGCTCCGCCGTCCGATGCCGCGTCGAGGGCGGCACCGGGTTCGTCCGCGGCATCGTCCAGTGCGTGTGGGTTGCGTCGCCGCCGCCCGGGCCCGGGGGAGGCGCGGCGAGCCGCCATCCCGGCGGCGATCCGCGGCCCAGGAGGATGGCGCAGCTGCGGCGTCTCGTGGAGGGCAGGACGACCGTGCTCGGCCGCGAGGCAGCGCGGAACGAGCTGTTCCTCGTCCAGGACGTCGTCACCGTCTGCCTGGTGCGTCCGTCCCTCGCCGCACGCCGCGGCCGCCGCGGCGTGTGCCCGCATGGTAGCAGTGCCCGATGTCCTCGCGCCGCGCGGATCGCGCCAGGCACGTGTGCCTGCGTGACAGAAACACTCACACCGCGCGCGCACGATCCTCGCCACGCCTGCAGGACGACGGCGCGACCGTGCTGAACTTCGACGAGTTTCCGGACTGGATGCCGGCCTCCGGGCGACGGAGCAAGCCCGTGCACGCCCAGGAGCGCAGCCGGCTGACCTCGAGGCTGCGCTTCTCATACGTCGCCGCGCAGGGGGTCTTTCGCGATCTCCCGGCGCGGGAAGCCATGCGCTTCGGCGAACCGCTGCCCTCGGGCGCAGCGTTCGGCGACGCCGCGGCCCGCGACGCCGCGATCGCCGCCTCGGACGACGCCGGCAACCATAGGGCGACGGGAGATCGGCTGCGGGCGATGGACGTCTGCTCCGGCGCCGGGGGGCTTTCGACGGGCCTCGAAGCGTCGGGGGCGGTCTCGGTGCGGTGGGCGGTCGAGAGCGACGCGGCCGCGGCCGCCGCGTTCCGCGCCAACCACCCCGCCGCGGTGGTGCTTGAGGAGCGCTGCGAGGACGTCCTGCGGCGCGTCGCGGCCGGCGGCGCCGGCGGCCACGGCGACGGTGCCAGCGGCGGCGGCGGCGGCGGCGTTGCGCCGCAGGACGTCCTCCCCGCGCGGGGCGAGGTCGCCCTGATCTGCGGTGGACCCCCCTGCCAGGGGTTCTCGGGGCTGAACCGCCACCGCGGGGCCGCGCAGGCGATGGGCAACAACGCGGTGACGACCACGTTCCTGTCGCTGTGCGAGGCGTACCTGCCGCCGTTCGTCCTGCTGGAGAACGTGCGCAACCTGGCGACGCACGAGGGCTTGGACGGCGGCTCCACGCTGGGCAGGGTGCTCCGCTGCCTCCTCGAGCTCGGGTACCAGGTCCGCTTCGGCGTGCTCGACGCGTGCGCCTACGGCACGCCGCAGAGCCGCAAGAGGCTGGTCGTCATCGGCGCCCTGAGCGGCCGCGCGCGCCTCCCGGCTTGGCCCGCGCCGACGCACGCGTACGCCGACGCCGAGCTCACACTGTTCCCGACCAGGCCCGCCGTCGCGTGCCGCGCCCTGCCCCCCGCTGCCGCGGGGCTCCGCGCGGCCGTCACGGTGCGCGACGCGATCGGAGACCTGTGTGGATGCAGCGACCCGGGGGGGGAGGCCGCGCCGTACGCGGGGCCGCCGCAGAACGCGTTCCAGAAGGGCGTGCGGCGAGGGTGCGGCGAGCGGGTCCACGACCACGCGTCGCGGCCGCTGCCGGACGGCCAGCACGCCGAGCTGTTCGGAGACGCATCATGCCAGGCCCGCAGCAAGAAGAGGAGGAAGAGAGACGCGCAGCGGCCGAGCCCCCTCGCGGAGCTCGCGGCCGTCGCGCTGGCCGACGACGGGGGCGCGCGGTCCAAGCGGCTGCTGCCCGACCAGCCCGCGCAGACCATCACCACGGACCCGCGGGTGTCGGCGACCGTCTGCCGGGCGCTGCATTACGAGGAGGACCGCTACGTGACCGTTCGGGAGTGCGCGCGGCTGCAGGGCTTCCCGGACGGGTTCCGCTTCCACGGCACCCTCACGGAGCGGCACCGCCAGGTCGGCAACGCGGTCCCCGTGCCGCTCGCGCGCGCCCTGGGCGTCAGCTTCGGGGAGTGCGGCTGGGCGGTGCTGCCGTGCGACCCACGATGCGTTTGAGAGCGCGTGCGGCGGTCGCTGTTGCCGTTGCCGTTGCCGTTGGTGTTGTGAGACGTTCACGGCCCCATGTTGCTGCGGTGCAAGAACGTGACGTGCAGCAGTCGCATGGACGATGCACATCGCACCTGTGCTGGTAGAGCCGCGGAACGAGCGCGAGCGCTGCAGAAGACCTCGGCGAACCGTCAGCGGCGAACGAAGGTGACCGGCGTGCGACAGAAGCAGCAGGCGCTGTCGCCTTCCCTCGATCGCCCTCTCTCGATCGTTTCCTACGATCGTCAGTGCGCTCGTTCGTCCGCGGAAAGTTTTTCAGGCATCCTCGTCGTAAGCATGTGTTGTTCTGGACGCAATCCTTGCGAACGTCTCACCCGCACGTCGGGCGGGGTCGCCGGCCGACGGGGCGATCGGGACGCGTGGCGAGGATCGCGCGCCGCGGGGCTCGACGCTGACATCGAGGACGTCCTCACGCTGCGCGCACAGGCGTGACCGACTGTGTTGGACCATCACGACATCCTTGATCTCGTGGGCGGAGCCTCCTGGCGCTGGCCGCGCGTTCGCGGCGCCGACCCGGTGACAGCTTCGCGCGGCCAATGTCAGGGACGCGAAACGAGCAAGCAATGTGCGGAAGACGGGCACAGACATGCACAGGCTCGGCACAAACCGGGCCGCAGGCGATCTCAGCGTGTCCCAGGGAACTTTCACAGCACGCGTCAACCAGAGTGGCCATAATTGGCCAGAGATCCGCAAGAGTCGTGGGCAGCTACGTGTCTCGCGCAGAGAGCGCGGGGTTTTTCTGCACGGATGGTCATGGGGCGGTCTGGGCGACGGCTCGTGGATTTTGTCCATCTTTCGGACATTTCAACCGCTTATTCTAGCCGCGTTCTACGTCAACATCTCATAATCAACCCTGCAAGACCCGTGCAGCGAGTGGAAGGTGCTGCTCTAGAGCCCAGTGTCCTCTCGCTAGCTTCACCCGCAGCCTCGGTGCGTTCAGGCCAAGAACCCCGTACCGGACCGGGCCTTGTCGCGCCGACGCCGCTCCCGCCCGAGAGGCGGGGGGGCCTCGAACAGCAGCAACGATTCATGTACCGGACCCGCATGTGAGCCACGACGCACGCTTCGAATATGCGGCAAGTTGCCCGTTCCGCGGAGAGCCCCGCTTTCGCTACGTGCGCACGCGGCTGAGGACCCGCCCCGTCCATCCGACGCACGAGCGCACTCTGCACACTCGCAACAACTTCCTCCTTCCCGAATGGCACCGAGGATGACAATCAAGGTTTCTCGAGCCGAAACTTTCGCACGACTGCAGGCACATCAAGGGCAATCACGTCACACGGCGACATCCTGCCGTCCTGCGCATGCCGAGCAGGTACCAATATTATAAGTAAAATACTCCATCTCGTCTGCAAGCCGCGAAGCACGCCGCGCGGACTTGAGACGATCGTCGCGCGACGACGTCTCGATCGCCCATCGCGCGACTACGGGCCACCGAAAACACCAGACGCAGTGAACGACTGCGATCAAGCGGAAGATGAGCGGAGATAGAGACAAGTACCAGGGTCCGAAGCAGGAGCAGCCCCAACTCATGCGTTGTGCCAGCAAAACACACAGGTCGCCGCGGTGCCTTCGCGAGCCTGCTCCAGCAGGTCTCGTTCGAGCGCAGGCCCGCCACGACGAGGACTGCGTCGGCAGGCCGGCTACGCGCATCAGCAGATGCAGCAGGCGAAGCGGAGCTGAAACGCCGCCTGGACTTTGCTCGGAATGTCGCCAGCAATGGCCAGAGGCGCAGCCTCACACGCACCCGCAGGAAATCAGAGCATCCCAACCTCAACGACCAGCGCGAATCGTGTGTGTGATGTATCCAAAAAAGAACCTCCGCGTAACCTCTGGTCGCCACAGAAAGGCAACATCGTGAAGCTGCTCGCCGTGTGCGTCAGCAGCCGTCGCGACGAAACGTGGGTTGCCGTCCTTCCCGAAGCATTCCAGACACCCAGGGCGCATCAGCCAACGCTGCTGGCTGGCCGCGAAGCAGCCCTTCGAGCACTCTCCGAGGTGCGACCACTTTGCTCGCGATCTCCTTCACGACGCAGGCGGGACGACGGCCACCCTCTCGTGCCGCGACGCCATCAGTCGATCAGCGCGGTGCTCCGCAGCCACGGTGCACGCTTCCGGCCGCTGCAGCGTCGCGAGCCGCCTCGCTCCCACAGCGTCTCGCTCGCGCTCCAGCGGCCGCGGTCGTCGCCGTGGCAGCTGCTCCGACAAATCGGCAGCGGCACCACCGGCGGTACCGCGACACCTGCACGAAGTCGACAGCCGCGCACACATCACGCATCGTCCCTGTCATCACGAGCGCCGGCGTGTCAGCTCACGGAAGGCCGTGCAAGATGCGCGTTCGTCGTCTCGCACGCGGCTGCACTCGTGGCCTTGAAGGCCCAGGTCCGCAGACGCAAGCTCGGTCCGCGCTGCCCCGGCGATCTCCGACGCCCTCCCGCGTTGCTGGCGCAGCAAGGTCGACACGGTTTCGCGCCGAGCCACGATCGCAGTCGCCTGCGCCCGCGTCCCGACAGGCCACATGGGGTGCGTTCATCTGCGAAATCAACGACGACGGAACAGGCGGCGTTTCGCTTGAAACCTTGCAGGCAGAGAGGGGGTCTGCGAGGGATCGCAAGGCGACGTTCGCGTGAGCGAAGGGCGCACCTTCGGCCGTGTCTTCAAGCAGCTGAGGAGCTTGGAGTAGTCAGGTGCTTCTCGGCAGACATTCGAGTCAATGTGCTCCGCCAGACGTGCATTGCATCTGCATACTTGCGGAGCGAAAATAAGGCTTATCCGATGGCGCGGTGCTCCGGAACGCGCCGTGTTGCCTGCAAGGGAGCTCCGCGGACGAACGCGGCACGCGGAGCGCCGTCCCAAGCGTCCCCCGAACGCGACCCACCTCTCGGCGAAGAATCCCACAAGCTGGCCTTCCGGGCGAGCTCCTGGCAGCCTCGCGGATGCAGCGGACGTGCCTGCCTCATGCGCTGCCTCGTTCAGCGCAGCCCGCGAACCACCGCTCGCGGGAACCTTCTGCAAAGTCGCGCACAACACGGAAGCGTCCTTGTTCCACATCAAGGCTGCCGAGCATTCCGGAAGAGGAGACCGAGTACGCACCGCACCTTGCAGCGAGGTGCACGCTGGTACCCTTGCGGCAAAGAAAGGCTGGTCGTGCAGGGCGAATTCCGAACACCGGCGCATGGGACGCCTTTCTGCCTGGTGCGATGCACGGACTTGATTCCTGCGTCCTCCCCGTGCACTCAACGCGGGCGAGGGCGCATCGCTGTCTTTCTGCTGCCACCAGCCTGTGCCACGCAACGAAAGGCTCGGAGAACTTCAGGAGTGATTTGCGGAGGTGCACCGCGATCATCAGAGCTTCCACGTCACAGCGTCGCGCTCAGGTCTGCGCGGGAGATCCCAGCAAAATCGCATCCGCAAGCGCACTCCAGAGCGCATCCACGCGCGGCGCATGACGGGACGGCGACGGCGCATGGGGCTCCAGTGATCATCGCTCGAAGCGCGTTGCACGCCGACGCGCCGCGCGGGCGCCTTGTCGGCGCGCGCCACGGGCACTCCTGCACTCCTTGCGACAGACTTGCCGGCAGGCTGTTGTGCTCCATGCTCTCGACCTGCAACACCGTCTCGCGATCGATCCTGTGGTCTGCCTGGGGACATCCCCGCGGCGGAGCGCGCTTGACATAAGTTGAAGATACTTGCCCCACGTGACCCCCCGTGTCTGCCAAGGTTCGCTTGTTTGCATGACCTTCAATGGCTTGATGACGCCGCGCGCGATGAGGTCCTTGGCCGCCCCGCCGTTCATGTTGACAGAACGACCGCTCTCGGGGTCATACGCCTGGATCAGTCCGCCCTCACGCTGACGGCACGGCTCGGTGCAACGTTGGTTGACCTTGTTCGTGTGTTTTGGCGTGCCAGCGATCGGGTCCGGAACCCGCGGCGGGGGCGTCAGCGCCTCGACCGGTCCCACCTTAGCGGGTGCTCGCGGTATCAGCGCACGGCGCCTCGGCGGCGAAAGCTCGCGCTTGCGCATCTCGTTGCGTGCGTCCACGGCTCGATTCACAGCCTCCTGGTTCTCGGGGGGCAGCTTGGCGAACGTCCGGTTCGCTGCCTCGCGCCCCTGCGCCCGCCGCAGTCCCGCCAGGGTGTCCAGCTGCGCGTCGACGGGCAACCGAGTAGCAAATGCATCGATGTCCATGTTCTCCGGAGCTTCGGCGTTCTGTGTCTGCGGCACCGGCTCGGGCTTCGGCGTCTATGTTTGTGTCCGCGGAGCGCGCTCGACGCTCCGCGTGAGCTGGTCGGCCTCGAGGCTGCGGCTTGGCATGGGTGCAGCTGTTTCTGACTACGGGCTGCACAGACGACGCGAAGACGTTGCTCGGCCGCTGCGGCGGCCGTGACTCGGTGCGTGGGTCGACCGTCGCGCGGCGGCGGTCGCGCTGCCCTGGTAAAACGTTGAACACGTCGACACTTTGGTAATTCGAGTTCCGCATGTGATTGCAGTGATATACCCCGAACTTCGTGCGGGTCGGATCTCGAAGTTCGGCTTGGGCGGGTGCGGATCCACACCTGGCTTGCGCGGCTGCACGAAGGTTTCGCCGGGGGCCGTGACGGCGGTCACCGGCGTCTGGTACCTTGTCTCCTGCAACTCTGTAGTTGTTGTTGATGTCAGCCTGGTGGAACATTCGTTCGAACAGCGGGAACCCCGTGCCCGAACCTCGATTGAACGTCTCGGCGCGCGCATCGGACCCCACGTGGTACGCGACGAAACCTGCAATGCTGCCACCCAAAGAGTGACCAGTGGTCGTCACCGGTGCGTCGTGCTTCTCCATGGAATCCGCGACTCTGATCTCGGCCTCCTTGAACCCGTCCTTCATCGCCTGGGTGACCAGCGCGATCTGAATGTCCGCGACGATGTCGCCCGCGCGAGCCTTGTAGGACCCTCTGAGGTCAGTCCCCCT